CCCTGCACAAATTTATTCTTATTATTTGTTAAATTCTACTGTCATGAAAGAAGATTTACTGTAGGTGTCAATCATTCAACCATTGCTGGGTTTTCTATTAGCTACATGTAGAGGCTTAAACAGATGGTTACTTCAAAACAACAATCAACTAAATAAAAATCAGCGAAAGAAACAATAATCAGCTAATGAAAGATATATGTCCCATGTGCATATATACATTTAACGTTTCGGTTCTGTAATCCAGGAAGGGGATGGGGGTAAATATGTGCAGGCAAGTAACTTTCTAAGGAGTACTCCTTAGCTGAGAGGTGAGTAACATCTGAGTATCCAGGGACTACTTTTGGTCTTGCACCCTTTGGAGGGCACATACCCACTAATAATTTGGGATTCATGTAATAAAATATAGAGCATTATTTGGACCCATTTTTTTTAAGCACAACTCTTGATTTCCTGTCCTTCTCGGGGCGAGGGCTGTATTAAACATATCTCCATGCTCACACAATCTCTGCATGGGCTCTTGAACTTGTCACGAAGGCCAAAAAGAGTTCCTTCTGCACAGGGTGAATGTCATCACAATAGAGAGCTTCTCCTGTGGCATGCTTGATCGCTGCAAGATGCATCAGGGGACACCCTACTGTGTCATGGGGCAACTGTTCCGGGTTAATATCCTGTTTCATAAAACAACAACAACAACAAAAAGGAAGGTATCCTTAATTAGCAACCTGAAACCTTTGCAAAGAGAAAGACCATGTTATTTCAAAATAAACAATCTATACGTCTTTATTATGCAACAGACCTTAGAACTGCAACTTACTGCCCATGAAACCTATAATCAAAAACCCAGTGCACACCTAAGTGTTTCAAAATGGGCCAATGTTTACAAACATTCCTGTTAACAAATTCAGCCAATATTTAAGGTCTAAGGCACTCTTAGAACACAATCATGTTGTTTCCAGTAGTTTATTTGTTGGTAAGTACACACAGGACTACAGTTCAACAAAAAGGTATACCACCTCATATTCCAACTCTAACTACATAAACACAGAAATAAAAGAAGTTCCTTATTTGCCAACATAGATCAGTCCAGGATAGACTTAGCATTTTGTTTAGCATACCAATACATTTATGATATACATAAAAATATATCAAAAGGTGTCATCAAATCACCCACCCACATCCCCAAGTAACTTTGCCAACTTACTTCCTGCTCAATTAACTAGAGCATAGCTGAACATACTGTACATGTACTGTGTTGATCAAGACTAGATTTTGACCTCGTAAGTGTTGCTTTGAGTGTTAAGTAACAGAAAAGTACCAATCTAAGTATGAGTCCCAATGGAGAACTGTCTTACAGTGTTTCTTAGGATTTTGAAATCTTTGCAGAGTCTAAGGAACAACTTGTGGTGATGAGTAAAGATGGGCATGAAGTATTTCATGCCCCTTCCTCATCGGTTGTCTTAGTCCCAAAGGAGAACTCTCTTACAGTGCTTCTATGAGATTTTGCAGAGTCTAGGGAACAACTTGTGGTGATGAGTAAAGATGGTAAAGTTGAGTAAAGATCATCATCAGTTGTCTGTGTAGCAGGACAGTTGCCATGTGTTTGCTTCCTCCTCTCCACTGGCAGCTCACCCACTGACCTGCTGATGCACACCACTCTGTCCCTCCCCATCGTGCAATCTTCCAGTCTGGGCAGGAGCCTGGACTTCCCTTCTCCACCTCCTCCAACAACTGGCCACTCAAAGGCAACACTGCAAGAATCTCTGGCTTGCCTGCTTGTCTGAGTGGCCAGGTGCTACAGGAGGCAGAGAAAGGAAGCTCCTGCCCAGACTGGAAGATCACATGATGGGGTGGGATGGAGCAGCACAACCATGCGGACGACTTATGATGAAGGGTGATGAGCAAACAATGATGACCATGTTTCAGCCACTCCATGCTCCTGGTACAACCTAGAAAATACTGAGTTGCTGCATGCGTTCACAAAAGCAAAGTGCAACTGTTTACCACATTAATGCATGATGTCACTGACCTGATATTTTTGTGAACCTTTAGGGAGACTGCTACGGAAGTCGTCCAAAGTGCTCACATATTCCACCGGTACAGCCTCATACCTAGATGGATGCTAAGAGGGGGGGGGGAAGGGAAACAGTCTTTGTTATTTACAGCTGACCCCCTTGATCTGTTATTGATCACATGCATGTCTTGCCCTTGTTCCAAAATGATCAGAGATGCTCTTCACAACAGTGTTACCTAGGCTAAGTAAACAAAATAGAATTTTTATATAATATAGTGCTGTTGAGCAGGGGTTTTGATGAAACCCCATTGTATTCCAAATGCAGGAGTCTAGATGAGGCTCTGTACCAGTTTTTCAATATACTAGGGGGAAGGATGCTCCAGATAGAGGGCTTAATGCTGTCGTTTTTGTTTTTGTATGAGATGAAATGACAACACCTTACCTTTACTGGAAACCAGAGCAGTTGCTGCCTCAACCCCCACCTCCCCAGGGGATAGGCCGGTGCAGAGGCAGAGGCCAGCTCTAGGAAGCGAAGTCAGCCCACCGATTGTGTCTCTGTACATACACGGTCCTGCCCGGCATCCCTTACAGACCTGTGGCCTCCGTGCATGCGCTGGCCTATCAACTGGGTGGTGCATGCGCAGTCCAAGTCTTTGGTCCAAGTCCCAATTCCCAAGACGGGTTGGGGAAGGGAAACCCCCTCAAGACTTGGACTTGAGACTCAGGCCCAAAGACTTGCCAACATCCCTGGCAATAGGAAATATCTACATATATGTGGAGTTTTCAGAATGGTTCAGTTTTTAAAAGAAAGCTGGATTTTCTTCAAGAGAAAATGTGGGACAATTGCTATGAAAAACACAGCTATCTACACAACAACATTGACACAACTCCTGTATAATGAACTGAAGTGTGGTCCTTCCACAAAAACAGAGAAGGGATACTTCCAGCTTCTTTAAAACAACAACTATCTATTACTACTATAGTGAACACAGCTTTTGGGTTTTATTATTATTTTAATTTTTTTACTGCAGCTTCAGCATTGGAGAATACATGGCTTTTCGCTTTTGGATGGGAAGGATTAATAAAAATCACATGGTTAACATTTGCTTTTTTGAGGTACGTAATTTACCACATAGTTCTAATTTTCTAGAAAAACATTTGCCATTACAAATGAAAAACAACTGCATCTTTATGATGGTCAGCTTACAACTCAGAGAAGATTACCATTTGGTTTAATTGCTTCAATGTTTGTAAGTAGAATTTAAATATGAAACTTGTAGTTAGAGGTTTTTTGTATTCAGATATTCCTTCTGGAGTGGTGTCCAGGACCGAAGGTTCCTCAGAAACTAGCCTGCAAGCGTCTTCTAGGGTATTTTTATTCCAGTTCCTGTACACAGAAAAAATATGTTAATAATGCAGAACTTGGCTGGTATTTTAGGACTTTTTGCAAGCCCAGTCCTACTGAACCCTAGAAAATTGTGATTCATCAACTCAAAAGTTGTGTTGGTTATATGCAAATTCGGCATGGGGCTTTTGGATTTGGGGGGGGCTGCACTTCCCAGAATTCCCCCAGGCAGAATTTGGGGATACACAGCACAAAGGAGGTGTTTATAGAGCAGCTGTCATCACCTAAACACGAGCCTCTTCTGCCATATTCACTTTTCAAGAAGAAAACTGCCCGGGTGCTGTCTTCGAGTGGAAAGGCTCCATGGGAGCTGCAAAGATTCATGAGATGCGTAGTCTCTCTGCCCATTAGGCTCTGCAGAGGGTGCCTTTCGAAGTACAACCCACCCCAAATGCCCATCTCTAATGCTAATAGGATTTAAAGAAACCAGAACAACAAAACAGTAGAAGTACACTATAGTAAAATTGTACGAACGAACTAGATATAGAAAAAGGTTTCATTTTCAACTGGCAAAAGAGCATTACAAGAACAAATTTAGGATATAATTTCATGTCTGTTACAACTGGAACAAACACATTTATCCCCCCATTTGCACTATGCCACAGAACCTAGTTTGTTTTAGCCATAATCCTTGAGGATCTTCTAGAGCAGTGGTCCCCAACCTCGGGCCTCCAGATGTTCTTGGACTTCAGTTCCCAGAAATCCTGACCAGCAGAGGTGGTGGTGAAGGCTTCTGGGAGTTGTAGTCCAAGAACATCTGGAGGCCCAAGGTTGGGGATCACTGTTCTAAAGGCTTTTCACCCCAGCTTCCTGTTCACACTCTACTAAGGTTATCGCCCATGTAGTGAAATAACCAAAATTGCCCTTGCTGCACAAGAGAAAGCTTTTTAAAACCAGCTTGTAGCTATATGTGTGTAAATGCTGGAGAAAGAAACTACACAACCTTCAAAGCAAAATAAGCCAACACCTCTGTATTGGTACATTGCTACTGCTTTGTCAGCCAAACTGAGCTGCTTTCCTTGGCCCTCCCCTTTGCAGGTCTCAGACGTGCCTCAGGAGAGGATCTGGAGGGTTCCTCAGGGCTCAAAAGCAGCTTTTTGAGGTGCAGCAGAAGGCCACGGAGGAAACGAGACATTACCCTCCAATTGCCAAGGCTCTCAGAACAACTCCAGCATTCAATCCTGCTGAAACAAGCTATTGAATAAATCAGCCCAAGAACAAGCCTTTCAAAATCCTAGGAGATTTTGAATAAAGCAGGAAGTGGGAGAAGAAAACTGTGGTGCCATTTGGGCTGATATCACAAGCACTGCCCAATGGACACTTGCAATACCAGCATAAACAGTACAGGATATGTAGCTCACTGAGGAATTTTTCTTTGCCAACAGTGCCACTGTCTTTACCCATAGAATAAGCATGATGAAAGTACTTGCTAGAGCAACCTTGCATGCTGCTTTCTTTCAAAGAGGAAAATTTATATGGACACAGGCATAAGAAGGTAACACATACAGTGGTGCCCTGCTTGACGATTACCCCGGTAGACGATGAAATCACTTGATGACGTTTTTGCAATCGCAAAATGATGATTCAAATGGGTTTTTTTCACTTTACGACGAACGGTTCCCTGCTTCAGGAACCGATTTTTTGCTTCACGACGATTTTAAAACAGCTGATCAGCGGCTCTAAAAATGGCTCCCCACTGCTTTGCTGATCTCATTTCACAAGACAGAGAGCAGAAAATGGCCACCCTATGGAGGATCTTTGCTGCACAATGAGGTATTTCTCCCATTGGAACACATTGACCAGTTTTCAATGCATTTCAATGTTTTCCGCTTGATTTTGCTGTACAGCAATTTTGCTGGAACACATTATCATCATCGAGCAGAGCACCACTGTATATTTTTTAAAAGAAAGGATCTATTAGAAAATAAGACAACCAGGAATTTGCTAGGCTGCCTACAGGTCTTTTCTACAGAGCAAATGTGAATTATGCACCCCAACAGAAGTGATAACATATTCTGGCATCGTTGCATTTCGAAGCAGGTTTTCTTATGGCACAAGGTTAATCTTAGGCACTGTCGTAATTTGGCCAAGTGATGTGTCATAGTGTGCTTTTTATTATGGAGAAGTATTTCCTTTACCCGTCCTGTGTGGATGGTTTTCTAGGAAATGACTTTCTTGGGCCTTCTTGAAGAGAAGTAGTCATTTCTATTCTGTAAAAGGAAAATATCAGTCTCCACATCGTCACATTTCAGGGGAGTGGTGCGTCCTTAGGCGCCTTTCATCTAAGATTAGGCGATGCATTTCTTCAACCCGTCTTGTGTGATTGGTTGTCAAGGAAATCCCTTCTGTGGGCTTTCCTGAACAGAAGTGGTGGTTTTCCTTCTGTTCAAAGACAACATCAGGCTTGGCATCATCCTAATTTGAGGGAGTGGTGTGTAATAGTGCGCTTTTTATTATGGAGAAGTATTTCCATTGCCCATCCTGTGTGCATGGTTTTCTAGGAAATGACTTTCTGTGCTTTCTTGAAGAGAAGTAGCTATTTCGCTTATGTTGAAGGAAAATATCAGTCCCCGCATTGTTGCATTTTGAGGGAGTGTCGCGTCCTTAGGCGCCTTTTACCTTGGATTAGGCAACTTATTTCCTCTACCCGTCTTGTGTGATTGGTTGTCAAGGAAATCCCTTCTGTGGGCTTTCCTGAACAGAAGTGGTGGTTTTCCTTCTGCTCAAAGACAACATCAGGCTTGGCATCGTCGTAATTTGGGGAGTGGTATGTCATAGACCGCTTTTTATTATGGAGAAGTATTTCATTTACCCGTCCTGTGTGTTTGGTTTTCTAGGAAATGACTTTAATGGGCTTTCTTGAAGAGAAGTAGTCATTTCTCTGCTGTTTAATGAGAATATCAGTCTTTGCATCATCCATTTCAGAGGAGTGGTGCAAAATTAAGCACTTTTTCTCTTGAGTTAGGCAAGTTTTTTTCTTTACCTGACTCATGTGATTGTGTGTCAAGGATAACACTTTTATGGGCTTTCCTGGACAGAAATGATGCTTTCTCTCCCCCTTAAGGTTATTATAATTTGTCTTTGTTTTCCTGTGATGTGATAATCTAAACCCTGGCTGTGATCTGTCAATTGACAGGAGGCACAAGGGAAACATGTTTTATCTGCCTTTTGAAAGTAATGTTTGAGAGGTGAAAATAAAACAAACTTTGTTTTTCGATTTTCCTAAATCCTGAAGAAGGTAGTTTATCAAGGCAAGCTAAAGCTAAAGTCATGTCTGTGGCAGATGGTTCAAACTGTAAACATGAAAGGAAGCATTCTTGCATGGCAACAGATTGTATCTGGCCAGAATCCAGAGTCTGTCCCATACTTGCCCACAAGGGAGTTCTATGTCTATTAGAAGGATGGCCCAGGATGAGACTGGTGGGCTTCAACAGTGCTGCAAAGGATTGCTTCCATCATCCTTGCTGAGG